CTTTGTTTCTTCCCCTGTTGTAGGAAACTTTGCCCCACCAGTCAGCAATTACTCTGCAGGAACCAAAGCAGCACACAGAGCCAGTCGGAAGCCACACGTATGTGGGAGATGGACCCTTGCATCCTGTTACCCTCATTAGTGTGATAACAGCTTTCCCCACCTGTGGAAAATGGTGCCAGTATTCAGAATAGTGTCCCTAGGCACGTGTAGTGATCCCGTTCTGAAACCACCCAGACCTTTGGTCCCATCTTGCACCTTCCTCTGGGCCACACTAACCCTGGTTAGTGCTCTGGCCGTGCTATGTGCTTGCCAAGGAAAGTGAGGTGTATATAACTTGTATGATTCAAGACCGAGTGCACTCACTGTACTGACACTGTGTATGGTTTCTTTTGCTTCTGCAGATGAGGGCCAGCTCCTGCACACCAGCAGAGCGCCTCCGCCAGATAAGGAAGTGAACCAGGAGTAAGGAGGACGTGTTTCAAGAAGTGCTGCAATCGTCTGATCATGCAGACATTAAACACAGAGTGTGGAGAGAGAAAGGCCAGGCAGGAAAGGAGATGGGCAGAAGCAAATGATAAAGCTTATGGAGGACTAAATAGAGATGCTCATATCCTGGATTGTGCTGCAGTTGGAACAGCAGGTTCTGTTTATAACACTCTTCACAAGACTGGAGAGCGGTGCAGGATCCATGCTTTCAGGCAGAGACGGCGGGTACATAGTTTACAGAGGCAGTTGAAAAATGCCACGAAATATAGTCAGAAGCTCATGGAATGATGAGACGGAGAAAACTGCATCATGTGGCAGTGAGCCCACCCCCCAATGTACTGCAATCCATTCCCAGAACTCCTAGCAGCAGAAAGTGGTGATTTGCACAGTAGGATAGCTATCCATGGTGCAGTGCTCTCTGTCAGTGCTAGAGCACCAACTGTGGACATGCTCCACTGACACAAGGAGTGTTGTGTGAATATGCACAAGCAATGTAATTACAGTGGTTTATAATCAAGGATGTAACTTTAGTTGACTTAACTCTGTAGTGTAGACATGGCCTAAGATTTTCGCAATGTATAGTATACCTCTATAACAGCCCAGCTGTAAATACTAGTCTGCTAGTCACTACACAAACTGCATTTAAAACTGGTGATCGACCTAAGGCTTATGTTTCTCTAAAGAACTAAACTGATGCTATGTTTTAAAATGCACTTTTTTCAGCCCAGCTCTTAAGGAAAAAATATCAGTAGAGAGTGATAGCGGATGGGTCAGAAGCACAGCTAGTTAGCATTACAGCAATTTTTATGTAGGGAAATAGGTACCAATGGCCCTAGCATTAACACAAGCCATCAGGTTTATGCCATTCAAATTACACTCATTAATTTATTTTCTAAGCCCTCTGTACAGATCATAGTTAAAAGAACATGAATCAATTTCCATATTCCTTAGTGAAATGGGATGGAAGTCTGGAACCATGGGCTGAGGCCAGGCAAGAAGCTTGCAGTGAAACAAGCAGAGTATGTGATCAAAATTCCATTTTATATCCAAGACCCCATGTCAGAGCAAAGCACTTCGCTCACACTCCAGGCCTCCCCATCTCAATCCCCACTTCTTCTTCCACCTTCCCATACAGTCACTCACCATCTTCCCTGCTGATTTCCCCCAGGGAACATGGGGCCCATAATCAGGGAGGGCACCCAATGCCTCTACACAGAGGCAACAGTGGTTGGCAGGGCTTTCCTAGCATGGCCATATTGGTCCTCCAAAGCCATGGTCAGCAGCACTATGAGAATCCTTAATGTTCAGATAACTAAGTGCAGACACACTGCTGCCCAGTGTTTCAAGGCAGGAGACAGACACTGGGCTCCTTGCACCTCAGGCCTCCCTCTCTGACCACCAGCTTCCAGAGTAGGCAGCCCTGTGGGGGGCTAGCTGGGTTCTAGGAGGTTTGGCAGGCATGTTGTGGGGACTGAGTGAAGGTGAACAAGGGGCCTGTGAAAGGGGAACTGCAGTTGAGCTGATAGCCTAGGATGAAGGTGGGAAAAGCAGTTCCTCTGGGCTAAGGCATCTGTACTTGATGCCTCCATCATGGAGGAAGGGGAATCTTGGTGGGGAGCCCTTAGTAAGCCAATGCCTTGGTGCAGAGACCCTGCTCACCCCTGTGCTGCTGTATGGTAACCAAAGCTGAAGCAGCTCTCTGTGGAACCAAGGCCCCGAACCCCAGGTTCCCCTACACAAACCTGTTCCTCCTCCATCCCTCTGCACATCCCTCACTAAATCTCTCTCACCCCTCAAAGCCCCACCAACTTGTCTGCCCTCCCACATTTCTCTCAGAGCCCACCCCTCACAGCCCTCCTTGGCTCTCCATGGTCTCTGAAGGAACTAGTGAGTCAGGAAGGTAGGAGGCATTGGGAAAGAGAAGTAGCTGATGTAACTGGACAGGTTTGTTGGTTCACAGTGTAGCCCAATTAGATCATCACAAATTAGGGAAATAACTGAGTATGAGAGAAGTTTGGAGTTTCTGGTTATATAGCAGAAAATGAGAGGGGGGAAAAGTAAAATTTGAGAAGGTACCTTTCTCAGCTGTTTCCTCTGCAACAATTAGGAAATACAAAGAAAATTCAGTTGTTCACAGTAGTTAGTCTAAAATTTGGAGACTAAACTCAATTAAACTGGAAAGTAGAGGGAATTTCACAATCTTCACTATGGAATCACTACCAACTCCCCTGTAAGACAGGACTATACACTCGCATGTACTTCAGAAGCACAGCTATTCACTCAATTAAAAGTTCTGCTCTGAATTAAAAAACCTCAATAATTGTATACAAAGACAATCCATTTAAAAAAATATTTTAATAAGCTTTTCCAGAATTGCAGACAGGGAATGGGGAAAGGACAAGGGAATTACTAACAGTGCAAAATTACTATGCGTGAAAAAAATGTATAAAAACTAATTTGTAAATTTTTTATGTTTTTTTCAAAATATCGCTTTAAATCCTTTATAAAGCCCAACAAAGGTTTGTTCTGTTGAACTGAATTTTTGATTCAGGCTGCACTCAAAGCACTTCATGAACGAGGACACCTGATCCAGCTGGATACATCATGACAGTGCTTGAAAAATATACTAAGTGTTACACATAAGCTGCTCTTTTCAATGCAGTTTGGAAGCTGGTTCAAATATTCCTTGGTTCCAAACTGTGCTGAATGTTTCTGAAATGAATCAAAGTTACTATATTACTAGAATTTTAAATAGTACTAGTAGTGCAATGATTTATCAAATTATAGTGGCTGCATTTTGAAGAACATGAACCAAATATTGTATAAAACACAATGCAAATTATAATTAAATACTTCTTTAAGAATAGCTGAGCATTACATATTCTATGATTATGGAATGTCAGATCTCTTTAGGCATACCATAAAAAGATTAAAAACAAATCAACATTTCTGAAAATGTACACAGTGCCATATTTTACACACAAGCCTGAGACAATTTACTTATAAACTCTCCTATAAAATGTTTTTGCAAGTATTTCCACCTGCAAACAAAAATGCATACAAATAATAAATTGAAAATAGGATTCTGATTAAAGATGTAAAGATTTTTAGAAGCACTGCACTACCTTCATTCTGAAGGTTTCTAAATACCATCTTTGATATAAGACTTGATACTTTGGATTTCTGTTCAACCAAATTTAAAATTGACAATGACCTCCTCCTAAAACAATCACTCCACAAGATTAATGCAGGCCATACATTAAACACTCTCTTGATTATGTCTCTCTGTATAAACTGCTATCTAGTTTTAGTTAGATTAATGTCAATGCCCTAATGTCGGCTGAACTCGTTAAACAGATCTCCTAAAACATCTGAGAAAAATGGGCTAATTTCACACCCAGCCTAACTAATTACGTCAATGGAGTTACACCAGGTCTGAATTTGGCTCAGCGTATCTAACTCTGCCTCATGAACATTTGTGAAAAGCAAAAACTGGTGGGAAGGGGGAAAAAAGAGTTGTGTTTTTGTAAGTCAATGTGATAATCAAATTAGTTTGAAACCACATGACCATAATTTTCAAAGTAAAGCCCTGAAGACGTATATAAGCTTTTGAAGACCAGCAGAAATAACCAAGTTAAAAAAAAAGGTAACAGTATATTTGTAAAACCACAGAATTATAAACTGTTGTCTTCTACATTAGACAATCAGGGCAATGTTTCCTCTGGGTTTCTTTACACTATTTTGTGTAGCTGTGGCTAAAAAGCACTGGTACTGTAAACTTTACACTTCACAGACATAACCTCCCACCTCAACAAAATTTCAAACATTTATTGGGAAAGCTAGAAAGAACAGATTTAGCATCCCCCTCCCTTGATAAGGGTTTTTCTTTCTAGCACCATCTCTTAAAATAGATACCAACACTTACTATCGCCTCTTACAATCCCCTCTTACATGTATATATGTTTACATACATGCTGTGCCAACTATGTACATAGATTCTGCTTCTGCACCTGCTGAAGTAGTCAATAATATGAATCCCAACAGTTCACAGAGATGCAAGATCAGGCCCACAGTAACCAGCTGTGCATTAAATTCCTAACTTATGCAACCAGAATCACTTGACCCATTTCCTACCCCTTCTGTGGTCACTGAAATGCACAAGATTATTAAAAATCATCAATGAATAATCTAATGCCTGAACTTGGCTAACAAAGTTTAAACATATTTAAGGATTTGGCTGAAATTAAGCTTTTGTCTTCCCTCAAAAATAAAATTTGAAAATGTATAATAAAAGCAAGAAAGTTTGTGCAATAAAAGCATCATGCTTAACTCCAAAATTCTCAAAAATCACTATTTGTCCTTAGACAGAAATTTGAGAAGTCAGATTCTCATAATTATGTGACTGCTTTAACCATCATTTTAAGCTTTAACAATTTTAATGGTTTACAGTTTTCTGAGAAGAAAACACGACTTGGTAATAACTACATAAACACTTAAAAATTTGTTTTTAGTGGTTTTTTTTTTTTTTTTTTAAGAAAAAGACTTTAGTAAAATAAAATGAAGCTGACAGACTCAGAATATCTATTTTCTCATAAAAGTTTACCAATTGTACAAGTTAAGAAAATTATACAAGCTTTTGTTTTAAGAAAGGACAGCTCAATCAAGACATAAGTACTGTAAAAATCTTTCAAAGGCTACAAAGAAATCTGGAAAAATACAGAACGTATTTCTTTAGCCCAGATAAGAATATGGAAGACATCATTGATGTCAACAATTTTACATATACAAACCTGACTTGGTTTATTTTTTTAAAAACTTCTATATATAAAAATAATCGTGCTCATAACTTTCAGGATTCATAGGAGTTCCTTAATTGTATACCACTTCTCTTCATCTAGACTGAAAATTTACACCTGCTTCTCCACTGCATCTTGGAATTCTAAAATTTCACATTAACTACTTGTGATAATTTAAATTTTAATCAGCTCTCCTCTTTAAAAATATACTTTGTACAGTAGAACTGTATCTACAAACAATTTGAAGAATGTGTATAATAGAAATTTCCTTAATAAATTAAGCAGGAAATGTGTTTACCATATAAACAAGTTTATGGATTCATTTTTCAAACACCTTAAAATACCTAAATGTTGCCAGAACAGTAATAGCCCATAGTTCTGTGCAACAAAATATTCCAGTTCTGCATTTCAGGTCTGAAAAAACAGCAGAACTTCAGAGCCAACTAAAAGGTGTAAGAAAAATCTCAGATTGCTTCAAGGAGTTTGATTTTTGTAAGGTAACCCATCAACCCTGAAAATTTTAGGCACCCCAGAATTTACTCCAAGGAATAAAATCAGTTCCCATATTCAATCATCCAAAGTCTCTGATATTGCTTCTTGAAAATACTCTGAGGAACCTGGACTTTCTTTTCCATTGCTGTTGATTCTTCTCCTCTTTGCAGGTCTTTCATTTTTTTCTTCAAAATCATTTTCATTTCTTGCAGCTGAATGAGCAAGTTTAGGGTCAATGGAAAGGTTCTCAGTTTCATATCCATTTGTGTCCAGATCTGTGTGAGGTGTTTTCTTACCACCTGTAGGTCCATTCACATGCAATCCTTCAATTTTTACTTCATCTTTACTGGATATCTCACCTGGCCCATTAGTGGATACACCTGCATTGCAGAAGAAATATGAACTAGACATTTAAGCAATTTCTATCAATACAATAGACCGTTAGGTCCATAAAACCAAAAAGCCAATCTTTGATACAAGTAACTTCATCATGTGACATCTCAAATTTATTGCCATTCCAAGAGATCCATCCCTGAAGCTCTGGTAAGCTGTAGCTCATATACAGACACAACAACATCCTACAGAATACAGCAGGTACCACAGTTTTGCCGGATAATCAAACTACAGCTTTTACAGTCAATCTAGTTAGGATACATACGTCTAAGGTACCACAGATTTCTCAATCCTATTATAAGAGTCATGCCTATATCAACCTGAGAAGCATTACTGAATAGTTTTCCTCCAGGCTGCAGCACTCATTCTAAAGTGAAGAGAAACGTCTTAATCAAAAACCCAAATTGTTACTTGATCTAAATAGTATAAGATGAAAGCAATAAAAGGAAACTGATCCACCACGAAGATAGTGTCAAGTTTCTGTGTCTAAGCTACAGTGACTGGCAGTTGAGGGGGAAAAAAAAAAAAAAAAAAAAAAAAAAAAACACTCCTAACCCTGCCTGGAGGTTTGATAGACTTTCAGGTCCATCTCACGTGCAATAAAGGAGCTGTTTCTTTTCCACAATCCTACTGTAATTTTCCTCTCTACATCTTAACATTACTTAGCAAGAGATGATTGATAGCTTGTGTTCTTTAACTTTCAAAGTTGCTTAATGCATTCTTTTTAAGGTATTAGATCATTTTAATCAAGGAGTATCAATGACAAATGTTTAAAATATTCTAATTAAAATGTTCTTCTGTGCTGAAGACTCCAATGAGAAACTGCAGAATTGGAATTAATTTGCAAACTGGACACCATTAAATTAGGCTTGAATAAAGACTGGGAGTGGATGGGTCATTACACAAAGTAAAAACTATTTCCCCATGCTAATTTTTCCCCCCTACTGTTACTCACACCGTCTTGTCAACTGTTGGAAACGGGCAATCCTGATTATCACTACAAAAGTTTGTTTTCTCTTGCTGATAATAGCCCACCTTAATTGATTACTCTCGTATAGTTGGCATGGCAGCACCCATTTTTTCATGGTGTGTGTGTGTGTGTGTGTGTGTGTATTTTCCTACTGTATTTTCCACTGCATGCATCAGATGAAGTGGGTTTTAGCCCACGAAAGCTTATGCTCAAATAAATTTGTTAGTCTCTAAGGTGCCACAAGTACTCCTGGTTCCTTCTACTTCGAACATGTCACCTGAAGCAAGCACTGGAGAAGCATTAACATGTCTCATACTTAACTTTAAAGTCAATGGAACTATTCAGTTAAGCACCTGCACAGATGCAGGTAGGACTGAATCTGAAAAGGCTAAAACACTTAAGAGGAAGAAAGTTAAACTTGCCAAACATTTTGCATTGAAATGTATGTGCCAGTATGGTCTTTTAGTTTTGTAACTTACCGCTGATACCTTGGCCAGAACCCCTTGGAAATAAGATATTTCAAGGGTTCTCGCTATGCTCCTTAAAAAAAAATTCTTTTTACAACTTTTCAGCCCATTTCCAAGATTGCTATGATGTGGCAACTTCTTTTATAAGTGAGCAAGATGGGAGTGAAAACACATCAGTGTTTACTTACCATTTTGATTACTGTTGCTAGTTGTGCTGTCCTCCCTCTCAGACTGGCTGGTGCTGCTGTTAGAGGTTGTAGGGGGAGGGGACGGAGCTCGACTGGAAGCAGCACTTTCACTTTCATCTAAAAGACGGTCCATGTAATCCCTAAAAATGAACACCACAGTGAGCACTGGCTTGGCTTTTTAGAAGTTTGTTGTGTGTGTGAGATATATTGTGTACACACACTTCTTTTTTATAACTGCTTCAAGTATTTAGATGGTACCTTATACAGTCAGTTAACGTTATAATCTCCTTATACTAATTTTGATCCTCCTGTTATTTGTCCATGGGAAATAAGGGGCCATGTATAACCTTGGCGTGAAGGTTGTGTATACAGGGAGTCCCCGAAATGAGGGATAGCTCAGTGGTTTGAGCATTGGCCTGCTAAACCCAGGGTTGTGAGTTCAATCCTTGAGGGGGCCACTTAAGGATCTGGGGCAAAATCAGTACTTGGTCCTGCTAGTGAAGGCAGGGGGCTGGACTCGATGACCTTTCAGGGTCCCTTCCAGTTCTATGAGATAGGTATATCTCCATATATTACCAAAGAATGTGATGGGAGGCTGGCATACCGGGGAGCGAATACTGAGGAATACAAGGAGCTCTTGGCTGTGTGCAAAATGCGGTCAACATACAGAAGCAACAAAAAAAAAAGTGTGACCATCTAGTCAAATACTGAAAATAGTTACCTGCAAACATTTAAATGTAAACAAACAGGCTTTGCCTGTGTGCGCATACTATTTGTTCTCTGAATATTCAAGAACAAAGTTTATTAGTATGAGTTTGCCAAAACAACAAATTTGAAGTAACTACTACAGAATACTTGCAGAAAGCCAAATTAAAATTTGTGATTGTGATGTGTTTGCATAAAACATCCATCAGTGAATGTAGCTGTAGAAATTGTGATCTGTTCAGACAATGCACAACCAGAAAACAGGCTAAATTAAATTAATTGTTCAGTTTAAATGGTTAGCCTTAATACTAACAGGTGTTCTATTTTAGCAATTACACTAAATGGAACTGATTGCATCTCTTCTCCTTTGGCCACTGTCCTGCTGAAAACTGAAATTATGGAGTAATCAAGTTCTTACTGCATTCATTACTCCATTTTAGAAGAGAGCAATATTAAGGAAAGACTATAAATCTGACATGTATGTAAGAAAAGATAGCACCGCTTACGTTACACCAGGATGGAGATTGTACTTCTTTTTCCCAAATCGGGTCTGCTGTGCAAAGAAGTCATACCGCTCTGATTTTTTCCACATGTAATAAAATGCTACACACTCGCCAACTGATCTTGTTCGTACCTGTGAAAAAGGTGCCACACAAAACATTGAAAATCCAAATGTATTTTCTGCTAGAGACCATGAGATACATTATACTTTGAGATTCTGCATGCCCAGAGCAGAGACTCAAAGCATACTATGAATGATTCCCTTAAGATTTTTCAGCTTTATATGATGAGTAACAGGGTGACAGGATAAAAGTATATAAAGTAATAAATGGTATAGAGAAAGTAGATGGAGAACATTTGTTCTCCTTGTCTCCGAACACAAGAACAAGGAGATATTCAATGAAATTCACACAATGTATAATTAAAAACCATGTAACTTACTGACAAGAATTTGCTGCGGCCAAGAAATTAACATGATTCACAATGGAACTGGACATTGATATGGATCTCAAAAATACCCAGCATTGTTAGAATTCATGACAAAAGTTTTGGAAAGGATATTTAAACAACACATTTCAGGGTTTAAGCCCATCTCTAACTATTAGACATTAGGATGAGAGCATTAGGATGGGGGTGTAGAAAGCAGATTATCCCACATCTGCCTATAGGAGGGATTTTACACTTTCCTTGGCAGTATCTGGTGCTGGCCACTGTCAGACAGGATACTGAATCAAACCAGAGGTCCATCTAGCCAAGTATGGTAATTCTTATATAGATGTGATGTACCTTTTTAGCATAATTCAGAAATATTCTGGAAGTTACTTTTCCAGATAAAGCTAAATGCCAAATCCTGATTTTGATCAATTAAAAAGGAGCAAGTTAAACAGGGAAGGTGGGCTTCCCAAGCACATGCCTTTTTTTCAAACATTAATTCACAATGGCAGAAAATTTCTGTGCATGTCCATATCAACACATTTCAATGACTAGTTTAGCTCAAGAAAACACAAGAGGCATGGGTTCAGGTGAAAATGGACACACCACGAGCAAAATCATGGCATACTACCAGTCATGCAACTATCATGCAAATACAGCCTAAGTATCTAGGTGGGAAACAAATATTTAATAATGGGCTCTTCAATCTACCAGAGAAAGGTATAACAGGATTCAATGGCTGGAAGCTGAAGCGAAACAAATTCAGACCAGAAATAAGGTGTACATTTTTGACAGTGAGGGTAATTAACCATTGGAACAGTTTACCAAGGGTCGTGGTGGATTTTCCATCAACAACAATTTTTATATCAAGATTGGATGTTTTTCTAAAAGATATACCTCTAGAAATTATTTTGGGGAAGTTCCATGGCCTGTGATATACAGGAAGTCAGATTAGATGATCAAAATGGTCTCTTCTGGCCTTGGCATTTATTTCAAATAGCGGAATACTTTATTGCAGTACTGAGCTGGAATAAGTCCGGTGGCGACAGGAGGTGTGTGCAGCAGGAAGAGCACTCTAGTGACCAGGGGAAGCATCGGGAGCATGCTAACACAGAGAATGCCTCAAGCCTTGACTCTATTAAAGGGAATGATTTGTGAAGCAGGCTTCATGCCCCTAGGTATGGCAGAGGGAACAACTTTTAGGAACCTGGTGCAGATGATGTAATATGTCAAATGCTCATTTGACGTCCACACAGCTGAGGATCTGCCCTAGACACTGCAGGTGAGGTGAGCAAAAACATATAATGGAAAACTGTAGAAAGCAGATTCTGAAGTTCCCCTTTTATGGGTTTTACATATGCTCTGAGACACCTCTGGATAAAAAGCAAAAACACCATTGTGCCAGTATTTCTGCAGATTGCAATATGAATTTTTGTTGCTTACTAGAGGGAGACTCCACCTATATTTTATTTCCCAGTGGGTTCTGAAAAAAAGCTTTCATTACTCTCTAACTTACACTTGCCCAGGGCTCTGAACAAAGCATACAGTCAAATCTTGAACTCAACTCCAAAATGTCCAAGTAGTCAAACAGTGGAGAAACTCAAGAATTATTACAATATGAAAATTCCTACTAACATTCCTGTAACAACCTTGGTTGCAGCATTTCCGAAGATGCCTACCACCCTCTACAGAATCTTTAAGTTTATTTAACAAGATTATAATACATTCTGACCAGTTAAGCATTAGGTGATATTGATAAACTCCTTTTTGTAAACAGACCCATTTGAGGCCTTGCACAATGAAAACACCCCATACAATGCCAGCTAACCAGAACACCCTCCTGTGATAGATCAAGTGACAGAAGGATATGTATAGTACAGTGACTAGAAAAAAAAAACTGATTTGGAAGGAAGTCAAAAGATATTTAATATCTTTTCAGCTACAAAAAAAAGTAGGAAAATAACTACTTAAAAAAAAAAAAAACAAAAAACAATCATCCGTACCTTGTTTGCCTGAATCAAATGAAAATCTTTTCCATAGGCCTTCAGTCCTTGTTCAAAATTCCTACATTCTTCCTCTGTCCAAACAGCTAACTCTTCTGAAATAAGAAACACAATACAGAAAACATACTTTAAAGTGACTGCATAATAACAAATGGAAACTCAAGATTCTGATACAAGAAATACTCTGTATTTAAGTTTCTTAAAGACTCAAAAGCGGAGCAGGCAGGGAGTGCTAACAGATGAGTGCATAAAGGAAAGAACAGAAAGAACTAATACTGAGTAAAAAGTTAAATGAATGAAGAGGAAACAACAACAGACAGAAGGATACAAAGGAAAGATCTGTACAAGGACAGAAAGTGCACAATGCAGCCAAAGCACCTTTTATATATTTAGGTTAGTTTATTAAAGTTTGGAATTTTTTCTGTCAACAAATAAGATTTAGAGGCCTAATCTCTTTTTACTTTGAATTTTGAATTCTTGTGTATTTCACACACATTAACTTTAGTGAATTTTATAAAAGTCCAGAGGCATGAATATAGAGAATAAGCCCTCTACAATTCCTACTTTAGGTGGGTGCATTAAAATTCTAAAAAGTTACGAAGTAATGAATAAAAATGTCAAGTTTTTATTCATAAACCCTCTTCTTGTTTGTTATTGCCTAGGTACTTATATATTCATACTATGCCCATCACTTCGTCCTCCAAAATCTCATTTTGGCCCTCAACTTTTAGAAGCACAACGTCAAGCTCATCCCTATACGGCTGCATTAGAAGTGAACTCTGAACGTGGGGTCAGAGTTCATTAATTCATGGATTTGAGGAAGAGCGATAATAGTGCTACACAATGCTGATGTGAAATCCTGCTGTAATTGGAGGTATCTGACAGCAGCAATCAATGCCCAAATTTTAATGATTTTGCCAAATTAAAGGAGGCATGGGATTAAAAAAACAAAAAAAACAAAAAAAAACACACAAGTACATTTAAAATCTGTTGTATTCTTACCTCTGGCTGCTTTCACATTAAATCTTAATCTTCTCAATGATTCTTCTGTATCAAAATTGCACTTAACCAATTCATACAATGCCTGGAAAGGTGAAAAACTACACATTTAATATGCATAACTCCATATACTACTGAATTTGCGTATTGCTACAGTGGTGCAATTATCAATTACTTATTCTGAAAAGTCTAATTTCTCTAAAAATCCAGTAGAAGAAACTGTTTTTAAAACAGCAATATAAGTATACAGAAGACTTACAGATAACTTTTAGGTTATACACCTCCTGGATAGCGTATGTATAATATACACTTTTCCCTTCTTCATTTCTTGTTCTAAAATATTGTATTACAGTGTTATGTACTGTAAAAATAGTTTCCTTTCTCTACCCTAATTTATAGGACAAATTTTTATAACTGATTCCCTAAGATGCAGAAGTATGACAACAGGTATAGCCTATGCCCATTCTGTGGCGAGACTCAGAAATGAAATTCTGATATCCCAATAAATGTGCACATATGGTTAGTTACACAAAGAGTAACCAACCTGGGCTGGCAATTTTGTTTTACCTTACATCCTAAAGATTAGGAAATCTGCAGGACTGGTGATCTTGTGCTTTAAGGAATTTATGCACATTTCTTCACAGGTCCAGCCCCCCCAAAAGATGCAAATTAACAAGATTTACATTGTTCTGACTTGAGAATTGGACATGTGCACACATCAAAGGGCTCATCAATGCACACATTTGTCAAGTCCATGTTCTTTTGTTCGGGGCAGGAGCAGAATTTGGTTTTAGTTAGTAAAGTGCTATAAAATCTACAACAGGAAGATCGAGACCAGAACGTAGGTTATTGCAGATAAAAATGTTTCTTAATGCACTTAATTTTAAAACTGAATATGCTTTGTGTTAGTGATTTGGGTTCTTAAACATTTGCTTTTGTTGGGGACAAGAGGGGTGGAAGCAATTCAGTTCCTCTGATGGGGATAAGAGAAAAAAGAAGCAATCTCAAATCAGACTTTGAGGTATGGGGGCAGCAAATGCGATAATTACAATACAAATAACACACTATGGTCACTACAAATTCTAATATGTACCTGTTCATTGTCTTTAATATGTGATCCTTCAGGAATTGCCTCTAGTCCTTTCTCATCTCCTGTTCGCCTTGAGGCTTCATTGAGGAATTCAATCACTTTATCTTCTGTTAAATAATCGGGATTCCACAGCAGCTGGTCATCATTTTCATACACTAAATTAAGAAAAACAAACATAAGTGAAGCATATTCTGTAAGATTCCAACTTCTACTCAACCTCAAAGAATTGTTAGTTTAGAACACAAGAAGATTCAAAATTACGAACATGATTAATGGGACAATCTGATTGGCCAGAGGACTGAGCATTATATTCATTTGAAATGTATGGTACTATCAATGCTCTTCCAAATGGTTTCTAAGGTTCACTGTTAACTATGTTAGATCATGTACATACACACAGACTACAGTGCAGTGCTGCAAAATACATTGTGCATCTAATCAGATCCCCACGCATACACATCATCTGTGGAACAGAAGATCCCTCCCCGTCCTCTGCCCTTGAAACTACAAAAATCACAAGATGGCACAACGATTTCAAACAGTGAGTCAACTATCCCTCCAGACTGCCTTCACCTAACCTCCAAAACAAGACCTTGTGAATAATTCTCATTTTACTTTGCTGGAAAAGATCTATTAGAGATAAGATTAGAAAACTGATCACTCCAGCTTCCTTAGAACATTTGGTTCAATCACACAAACTGAGGGATGTGAGGACTACTACATGTGAAGTCTTAGCCACCATGGTTCATGAAAGCCAGCAAAAAGCATCCAGGCCCACTACTGACTGAGAACACCTTTGCCTACCACTCTAAGTCAAAATGCCTCTTGAAAGCAGCATCTGATGTCAGAAACCTTGCCAGCTCAGCAGACCATCAACCCACCATTGCCCAGATGACAGGAACAGAGAGAAACATGTGAGTGAAAACGAACTAGCTCAAGCTTAACTCAAGCAAGACGAAGATACTGATAAAAATAAATATTTTGAGAAGATAGCTGAGATACTGGCCTCAATGAAGTCTCAAACCTTCTCTCAATAATAGAGGCTGAAAAACAACTGCCTTTACGCATCATGGATAGGTCTGATTAAGAAAAAAGTAACAGCAGTTAAATCAAGGAATGGTGGTGAACAAAATTTGTTATGGATTTAGTACATTTCTTAATTTGTAACCGACACCATGATGAGTGTATTAGAAGTTGCTAGACACAAAGAATGACTACCACATCAATGGATGATACCAAAATCTGAACCCCATCTATCCTCTATGTTAAATCCTGTAAGTTTTCCCTCTGAGTAGCATCTCAAGGGATTGTTTCAGTCAGCCCCTCTTGCGTGTTCCTCCAACTGCCAAATGGCATGCCTGCCATGGAAGATGCTCTGGCTTAATTCTTAACAAATCTCAAATATTTCCACCTTCTCTTCTGGATAACTTAAGCAATAAAGGGTTGTTGAACTCCAACAAAACTGGGCATTTGTTACTAATCTGTTCCATTTAATACCTAGTATTTTTCTAAGACATTTGCTTTCAAAAGCATTTAGGTGTCTGTCTATATGTTTGATAGATTCCCAGCTTTTACATCCATATGGTAACATGGAAAGAACTCTAGAAAGTAGGGCTGTATAAGGGCATAGACCAGTGGTTCTCAACCTATTTACCACTGTAGACATATGCAGCTCTCTTTAGTGTGGATGCGGCCCAAATAACATATACACTACCTGTATGGCCCTTAGGATGTCATATGGGTTGCAGCTGTGTGCAGGCTGAGAACCACTGGTATAGACAGAACTCTGTAATAAATGGGGTGTAGATGATCTAATCCACTTGCTATCTTTGGGGAGAACTGACTGTTTCATAGGGCTTGTCTACACTTAAAACACTGTAGTGCTTCAAAGAAGATGCTCCCTACACTGACAGGAGGGCTTCTCGCATCAGCATAGATAATCCATGTCCCAAGAGAGATGGTACCTAAATCAACAGGAGAATTCTCTGGTCAACTCAGCACTGTCTACACTGCGTCATTCAGGGGTATGGATTTTTTACACCCCTGTGCGATGTAGTTATACCAACCTAATTTCCTAGTGTAGACCAGGCCCTAGAATTATCCCTATATTCTAAAGATAGCCTATATGTTCTTCAGAACTTAGTTCTGCCCACATATTAACAACGTGCCCTCTTAACAGCAATGCAATGCCGCTTAGCCTCTCTTGGTAGTGGATGTGGCTTGGGGTAAAATATGGAAATCTTTCCGTTCCCGGAGTGACTCCTCCATTTCCAAATCAAATAGCTCTGGATATCATCATCCACCTCTGCTTGCCCGTCAAGGGGACGATCTGAAGATTTTCGCAAGAAAAAAAAAAATCTCTTCATCATTGTTAAAATTCACTTTTCTGTCATGTCAGAAACATCAGACGAGTCTGAGCATATCCTTCACAACTTGAAGGTCCTCAGCAATGATATATTGGGAGCCCTTTTTGCCTTTTCTGTCAGTTAGTCTAACAATGAAGTCTCAAATCAAACAGCCATATTATCTTAGCCAGCTCAGTAATTTGCTATGCACATCTGAAGAGTAGCATTTTCTTCCCCAAGGGTTTAGGAGCTTTTGCACCTTTGTCCTTGGCAGTGGACCAATGACAACTAGTCTTCTTCAAGAGGAATAAAGAAGTTCAGCGTGTAGATGAGAAGCGTAGTCAGGAAAGTAACAAATACTTTCCTGATGTCTTGTATTTTCTAAATGGACAACCTACCCTAAATTCTCAATTACTGAGGGACAATCTTCACTCATTGCTATATTTGCTTTCCACAACCAACTCTCTGTATAACTTTTCATGAGTGATGTACCCAAATACTCGGATGCTAATATCTAAACTGTATTCTTTAATTTATTCACCTAAATTTGGGTTATTGCCGATTATGCACTATATGTATCTTATGACTTTAAAAACAAACTTTGTATTTGTGGATAATCTAAGCACTATACCCAGATGTACAGAGACTCTTTTCTTAACCTGTGTATTATATAATTTTTTAACATTAGCTTTAATAAAAATTTTAAATCTACTCAAGTTCCCTCAGAGACCTGAGTCAGATCTTTCACTGAATCAATTTTCCTGGTGCCAAGGGATCCGACACCAACATATTCTGCTCTTCCATTGTCCAGGCACCCAAGGGTGGAACATGAGAGAAACATCAGACACCAAAACACAATTGGAGCTACACTGATCATGGTGTTAGGTAAACTCACCAACCTCCTGTCTTCATTACTTATTTGTCCTGGGCTCTGCTCAGGGCAAAAGTGCTTGCCTTATGGGACACAGATTCAGAGTCCCTAGGTATAAACTCTTTCAAACAACAACACAGGAGTCACTAAACTTGGATTGGGATATCCACAGAGAAGAGTGAGAGTGACAGTGAGCGTGTAGATGAGGCATCACAGACTGGAAATCCATACAGGCAGAGTTCAAAGAATAAATTATACCAAAACTGCATTTGTTATGAAATCTTCATGGAAACGGAGTACGTCATTAAGCTACTATGTTCGGCCAAGTGCTAAATTTCCTAGATGGTCACAATAATGTAATTCTACCCAAAAATACAAATGTTTATATTAGCAATACATTATAAGCTATACTTTAAGAACAAGATCTCATCAGCTGAGAGCCAAAGTGTATGATTGCACGTTGTCAGCCTAATTTATTTTCCCATTGTAAATGTCAACACTAGTCCAATTTGAGGCCTGTGAATAAAGGTTTCATCCAAAAATACAGTGGGTGGGGAAGGAAAAAGTACAGAACAAAAATTATACCAGCACTAGTGTAACAACAATTTAGTGAAACTTTAACTCCCCCCCCCCCCCCCCCCAAACAGTCTGTGTCCATGACACATATTTTCAGTTCTCAAACCAGTGATTGGATGCAAGGCCATGAAAAGCTGGTTTTTGTAGGCTTCTGCAGTAAAAAAACAAACAGCTATATAGTTTTATTATAGAAGGCCACAAGTCATTTACAGTACAGTAAAATAAGAATGGATGAATCAGCAGCAAATTACAAATATACCTTGTTGAATTTCAGAGAAATACAGAGTTCAAGCTCTATGTTAAGATACCTACCAGATAAAGAAAGGAGCACCAAAAGTAGTTTCTCCACAGCTAGTAGCACATACTTTATCTTTTAGTGCATTAATATTTAAAATAGATTTATTCCTCCCAGTGACATTTTTTTAATAGCAAAAGCAACTAAATTTTTTGGACTTGACCTCTGCCTGATTTTTATTTTTTTTTAATTCAAGCAAAGAAAGATCTGCCATTTCAATTAATAGCTTAATTTTTTCTAAGATGTCTTGTCTGAAATCCTCCCTCAAACTTTAGTACAGAAACTTGAACAAATCATTTCAGAAATGTTGACAGCATCAAAGCTCACCTTTCTCATTCTCCTTGTATTTGCATATGCCAGCTGGGATTTCAGCTTGAAACATAGAACCCACCATGATTTCCTGTTTAAAAAAAAAATAATAATAATAATGCATTTGACAGTCTTATCTGTTTTCTATAGAATGACAGAGTGACAATATCCCTTTAAGCACTAAAAAGTCCGGCCACCAATAACCTACAAAATATGTGACAAAAACGAATAGGAATTAAAAAAAACCAATATGGAAATTTACTTTGTCTATGAGGCTTTGAGAGAGTATTAAAAGAAACATACATTAACACTAAAGCTGTTCGTTTTTAATTGTTGGGAAGAGCAGGAGAGGAAGCAGATAATTTATAAAGCTCAAAGTCATCATGAGTTAAAACTTAAACTTCAACCCTTTTCCTCTATTTTGGGAATTAAAAACCCTTCACATCATGCAGAAAATGTATTATGGTTATTTACTTTATGTGGCATATTGGCAGAGGAAAAAGAAAAGTAAATACACATTCTTTTACATCTACTTATTGAGATTAAAAACAATTACATGTACTTCATATAATGCTTGAGTTGTATTAAAGCACCCCATCTGCAATGATAATTAGAACAAAGATAGCAATTACTTCAGTGTGATTTCTCACTTAAATCACAGAATTTATTTCACTAAATGAAGTTACATTCTCCTGATCGGTCAGATGGAGACTGATGGATATAGAGCTGCTCTGTGATAATGTATGAATACTATATGTGACACGGTTATCGGGATTTCACAGTATGAATATGTTGGTTTAGTTTAATAGCAGGCTGCTGGAAAATACAAGCAGGAAGTGAAACAATAGCTCAAGATACACTACTTCTCAGTAAACATTTCAGCATGGTTAAAACACAAGGCCTGAGCTATAACTGAAGATCCTACCTCCAGGTTACAGTCAAAGTTACAGAGACACAGCTAGGGGCCAGCAGATCAAAGAGACTACAATACTGTGTCCAGAGATCAGGGAAGTTGTTGCCAAGAAGCTGTTTGGACTGACATCCCTCTCTACCCCCAACGGGACATCTGAAGAGGTAAGCCTCCCTGGGTCACCATCACCGATGGTAGATCTTTAAGTAAGAAACATGCATGTAGACTTTTAAAATCCTTCCTCTCGTGTTATGCTTTATTCCTACTGCTAAGATTAAACACTTGGGTTTGAGAAGACTGATCACTGGTAAAAAGGAACCAAACGGCAAAAGAACTGCAGGTGTCAAACCCAGTCAGACATACTGGGCTAAGCACAGCTGATACATAAGGTACTATAGCCCAAGTCCTGGCCTAGGAGAGGGGGAAATTGTGTGATTTCACCCCTGGAAAAGTAAAGGCAAAAGGCCTGACACCTGAAGGGATGCATTCAGAGATGCAGCTAGTCCTGTAACTCAGAGAGGGTTTTGAGGGAAACCCCTAAGCAGAGGCTCTGGATTCCAGGCAAGGAAGTCAGAATGGGGGAAATCTAAAAAACGGAGGCTACGCCTATGCAAAGCAGTCCTTGTCCCTGAAGGGAGTGGAAATAACCACGAACTTCAGAAAATAGACAGTGAAGAGAAAGCAAAGTTTAAAAGGCTTAACTTGGCAGTATTTGTATTTTGCCTGCAAAAGTATTATGAAATTATTTATTGAAAACAAGCTAACGATGACAACCTGGTGGTTTTAGTTAAGTCAGACAATCTTTTCCACTTTCTGGATAAACTGAAAATTAGCAAAAAGGAGCCTGTTTACAGGAATTAATTCCAGTGAACTCTTATTTCCTGTCTCCTTCTGCTGATAGGATACAATGCCCACTTATGCCTGGAATACTCAACAGTACACTATATTTAATAACACATTTAATAAAGATATATCCTTAACAGCAAGTCCTCAAATGTTTACCTTTTTCCAGTCTTCTGAAGGAATATAATCTTCATCTTCCTCAGATTCTTCTTCTATTTCACTGTCTAAAGAAATTTTTCAGACATTATTTACATGGGAAGTACTACCATAAAGCCTGTTCAGGCCAACATTATATGCCAGTAAAGTATGTCTTGAGACAGATTGCTCAAAGCCATTGCGGCTGGCTATTTGGATCTTGAGCTGTGACATCACAACCACCTTTCTGTGAATGAACATACGGCTGGGATCTCAGTGAGGAGCAAAACAGGAGATCACCACAACTTGGTCTGTCTTCCAGTTGAAAGGCATCCCATTGTGCCTTAGAAGAAAAAAAAAACAGCTAATGTGCTTACCCAGAGTGGTTAAATATCCTGTTAATTGGAAAGGCAGCGAACAGGAAGAAGGTTGTAAGTTTTTAATATGAAAATAAGTGAACAGTATCTATTTTTGGGCCTCACCATAAAACTTAATTCCCCTTCATCCAACTCTACCTGTATAGGCAGACAACATTCCAATTGATCAGGTACAGTTTTCTGCAGGCATGCCAGTGTCTTCAATGATTACACTGAAACACAGGTTCTCCTTACTTTCAACATAACTGGCAGGCTGCTAGGCTAGTCACCCTCATTTCATTTCAGATCCTGTATCCATCACTGGCTTTTCTCATCCTTACAGCAACACTGCCACTACTGCCAGCCTCTGTTGAACTGTTTGTACACTAGAGCACAACATGTGGGTCACTCCAAATCTAGCTGTCACATACTCAGGCACAATGACATTTAAAAGTGCTGGACTTCACAGCGCACTCAGCTCAGCTAGCCACGAGTAGTGCACTGAGAAAGCATATTCCTTAATACCTGTGACATTCGGTACTTGCATTTGCTATAGTGAATTTAACATTTAGGGGTCCTTAAGTCAGGACGTGTCTCTCTAAGGAATGTTGGATAACAGTCTGTATTAGGGACTATCATTTGCATGGTGTTGAAAGTAGCCACATTAATGTCAGCATGTGAGGATCAGGTAGTAGAAAGACAGACCCTTCTATTAAATGTAAATCAGCATTCTGTTAAACATTGGCAGAGGAACCAAAAGCTAACCTAGGACATCTGTGTTAGATAAACATTAAAAGCAGAATGTTACTTAGATTGTAAGCTCTTTGGGGCAAGGGCTGTCTTTCTGCTGTGTTTATTGTGTGCCTAGCACAAGTCCTGGTTCATGACGGGCTCTTAGGTGCTGCCGCAATCCAAATAATAAATTTGAAAATGACATTTCTAATGACATAACTAGTGATGCAGATGTGAAGAATTTTAAATGTTAATTTCCTTTATTTTAAAGCACTGGGTATATGAGCTATAAACAACCTTTAACTATAAGGTGATAATGTTTGTTGTAAACATATAGGTCTAAGACTCCAAATACACCTCTACCCCGATATAACGTGGTCCTCAGGAGCCAAAAAAATCTCACCGCCTTATAGGTGAGACCATGTTATATCGGGGTTGGGCCGGAACGTCGTGCCAGACTGGACCGGCTTCCCTGGCGGTGGTTTAAAGGGCCCGGTGCTCCACACAGCGGCTGGAGCCTCTGGCCCTTTAAATCCCCACTGGGGCTCCGGCAGCCAGGCTCGGGCGGTGATTTAAAGGGCCCAGTGCTCCAGCTGCTGTGGGGAGCCCCGGGCCCTTTAAATCACCGCCGGAGCTCTGGCAGCGGGGCTCGAGCGGAGATTTAAAGGGGCCGGGGCTCCCCGCAGTGGCCAGAGCCTCTGGCCCTTTAAAATCACCACCCGAGCCCGTGCCGGAGCCCCGGGGCTCCGGCAGCCGGGCAATGATTTAAAGGCAATGATTTAAATTATTTAAAATGATTTAAATAAGGTGGTGAGCCAGCACGCTGCAGCCAGCCAACTCTTCTTGGACCATCAGCAGTGCTCCACAGACCACAGCTGGGGAAATGCTACAGTTGAGCAATACAAGGTTACAAACACTGCAGGGAATATTTGCACTGATCTTTCGGGCTCCACACGAATTCGGATATAACGTGGTAAAGCAGTGGGGCTCGGGTGGCGCTTTAAAGGGCCCGGGGCTCCCCGCTGCTTTACCGCGTTATATCCGAATGTGTGTTATAATCGGGTCGCGTTCTATCGGGATAGAGGTGTACTGGGAATGATGCATTTTACCTTCCTCTGGCATAAATGGCTACCCCACACAGTGAAATATTTGGTTGTCCAAATGACTTGGCTGGTAATACCAGATGCTATTCATTAGGAGAATGCAGGTTTGAGACCCAGATAAGTGGAATTACAACAGCAGTGAGGGTAAGGGGAGGGTTACATAACACTAGATCAGCAGTTCTAAGTGGCTGCAAGAGTGAATTTTAAGCACATCTAAGAAACAGACACATGAACGAAGAGTGGAAGTATGGAGCAGGGAAATGGTAGCACTGAAAATGACGTCGTCAAGATAAATATTTTAAAAGCAAATTTCCTTCTCTGTATTGCTGTCCCCACCACAGTTTATTAAAACCTGAAATAATTTTTTAAATCTATTTTAGATTTTTATTCATTTTTCCATTACTGAGATTAGACCAAAAAAATAAGCAGTTTTGCTTTTGTTTCTTGTCAATTTCATTTTCTAGTTCTCACTCACTAAGACAAGGGTTCTCAAAAAGTTTTTCATGGAGTAGACCACAACTTAATGGATACGGTCTTGTGGACCAGCACCTCTCCCATTTATAATTTAGTCTCCATGTAGCAACTACAGCAATTGCTTACTTGGAATATTTATATAAGAAAACAAAATATTTTATGGTCTTTTTAGGGTGAATTAGCAATTGAAAATAAGGTTGTGAGCCAGCACCCTGCAGCCAGCCAACTCTTCTTGGACCATCAGCAGTGCTCCACAGACCACAGCTGGGGAAATGCTACAGTTGAGCAATACAACGTTACAAACACTGCAGGGAATATTTGCACTGATCTTTCAAGCTGGTCCACATGGGAAGACGTCACTGGGGCTCCAAGGGGATGGCAAGGGAGCTTTGCGGAGGTGTAGAGGCATGCCCAGGTGGACCTGTTTGTAGGACTGGGGACTACATTTCCACTGAAATGTTAAGAAGTTATTGAAAGCATTTCCATTGGCCTTAGGTTTTGCTTTTCTTTTTAAATTGTGCACCAGATTTAATCCTACACTTTTCCTTTAATAAAACAAATATACAAAGTCCATGACTTGTAAAAAAGAGAGGCTTTATCATATGCTAAGGAGAGTGGACAACAAAAAACTATGTTTAAGTGAATTGATAATAAAGAACAGCAGTGGGAGAAGAAAAATCTGACAAACACTTAAGCTCTAAGACTTAGATTTTTTAGTAACTCAATATTTCATTAATTCTAGATCTTAATAAAGTTATGACAATTTAGATGGTGCATAGTACTAAACAGCACATACTTGCATCAAAATATTTACATCGACGTGGGTGAATTATCTCCTGTGGATCTTGAGAAGCAACAGATGGTGCTGGGTCATCATTGGAGGATTGTGTCTCATCCTCCTGACCTGATGAATCCTTTATGGTCTCCTCCTTAAATACAATAAAGCAAACAGGAGACCATTTACACCTTCTGCATTAGAGATAATCATCGCTCTCTTTTTTGATAACATTTTATTTATATTTCCAGAAATGTCAAACAAAAGAGGATGTTGTACACATAATAAAGTATAGGTTGTAGTGTTATGAATGACAGGTACTGGCTGTGGACAGCCACAAAGATTGTTTAGATGCATTACACAGCATTGATATAGATTTTGAAAAAATATTTTAAGGTCAGGTTTAACATTAAGTCTTAGATGAGCTAACCAGAATTAACCACTGTATTTAGTTTTTCCAGCATGGAAATTTAGGGTTAAAGTTTTATACCATGAGCAACAATAAGTACTGTCACACTTACGTGAACTATCGTATACCTAAACAGGCTTTGAGCAGGGATGGGGATATGTTGGATTTCCATTACTGAGTGATTCTATGTTTTGCTAGGAGCAATTCCGGGTGTACAGTCCTAATTTTTTGTTAAACTGTTTGTAAGGATATGCAGCTTGTGGATCTCAGAACCAAGGGATAAGTCAATTTCACAATCTTATTTGTGTGAAGCACTAGCTTTTCTCAAAATTCTCATACTGGGCACTCAGTGTGTCAGTGAACCTACAGACAAACACTGAATGGTACAAATTCCCTTTACTATTAAGTAGTGAGGTTTTTTTATGTTTGATGGAGTAAGTTATACACAATAAGTTAAAAAATTGGAAATTATAAAGGCATAGAGTTCTTTACAGCTCTCTTGCTCTTAAAGT